CCGTCTTTGCAAGAGAGCAGGCTTTCTCCGGGGAGTTCAGAATCTCATAATAGAACACAGAGAAGTTAAGGGCCAGACCCAATCTGATAGGATGTGTTGGTTGCATTTCCTTTTTGCTGATTTCAAAAGCTTCTTGGTATGCTTGTTGTGACTGGTCCACAATCCCTTTCTTGTCATCCCCAGCAGCAACCTCGGCCAAGTAACGGTAGTAGTCGCCTTTCATTTTCAAATAGAAGACTTTGCTCTCTGCTTGTGAAGCATTGGGGATCAAGAACTTTTCCAAGAGAGACAGTACATCATTGCAGATATCTCTTAGCTCGGTCTCAATTTTTTCTCTGTATTCTCGAGCCATCTGCTGTTTTTTCTCAGCACCTTCTGTCTTTTGCTCAATACTTGAGACGACCCTCCAAGATGACCTACGGGCTCCTACAACATTTTTATAAGCAACTGAGAGAAGATTCCTCTCCTCATTGGATAATTCAGCTCCTTGCTCAGTTACAGACTTCATGCAGGCTGCCATGTCATCATATCGCTCAGCCTGCTCGGCCAGTTTGGCCTTCTGCACCAGCTCATTTTTATCCATGACTGGATGTTCTGTGGCCGGAATGGGTGGCGGCGGGCGGACGGGCGGGCGGACGGGGACTCAGCAGTCTCTCATTTTTATTCTTTATGCCAGTGCTCCTCTCTCTATTTCTTCTTTTTCTTACAGCAGCCCGTTTAATGTTTCTTGCAATGCTGGTCTGGGGTTAATATACTCCTTTAGACTTTTTTTGTCTGGGAATCCATTTCACCTTCAATTTTGAATGATGGCCTTGCTGGAGAGAGTAATCTTGGTTTCAGAGCCTTGCTTTACATTACTTTGAATACTTCATGCCATTCCCTTCTGGCCTGTAGTGTTTCTGTTGAGAAATCAGTTGACAGCCTTATGGGAACTCCCTTGTAAGTAACTTACTGTCGCTCTTGCTGCCCTTAAGAATATCTGTTTTTAACATTTGCCATTTTAATTATGATGTGGATCTTTGTGTTCCTCTTTACTGGGACTCTCTGTGCTTCCTGAACTTGAGTGACTCTTTCCTTTACCAGGTTAGGAAAGTTTTCTGTCATTATTTCTTCAAACAGGTTCTAGCCCTTGCTCATTTTCTTCTCCCTCTCACACCAGTATAATATGGATGTTGTTCTGTTTCATGTTGTCCCAAAAATCCCATAAACCATCCCCATGTTTCTTAACTATTTTTCTTTTTACTTCTCTGATTGGTTTTTTCTACCTTGTTTTCTAATTTGCTGATTCAATCCTCTGCTTCCTCTAACCACTCTTAATGTGTGGTTAATTCTTTATTCTTAATTAATTCTTAATTAAGAATAATTCTTGATTCTTTATTTCAGCTACTAGAGGCCTGGTGCATGGATTCATGCACCGGTGGGGTCCCTCAGCCTGGCCTGCACCCTCTTGCAATCCGGGGTCCCTCGGGGGATGTTGGATAGCCAGTTTTGGCCTGATCACTGCAGACCTGATCCAGACAGGAGGGAACCCGATCCCCGCAGGCCCGATCCAGACAGGAGAGAGCCCAATCCTGTGCATTAAGCGTCTTCTCCTGGTGGTCAGTGTGCATCATAGCGACTGGTCATTCGGTCATTCAGTCGCTTTGGCTTTTATATATATAGATGTTAGTCTTCATTTCCGATTTGTTGTTTTTCATCATTTCTATATCTTTTTCATGCTGTTGAGCATTCTAAAAACTATTACTTTATACTCTGTTTCCAATAAATTGCTTTTCCTCCATTTCATTTAGCTCTTTTTCTGAAGATTCCGCCTGTTCTTTCATTTGGGCCTATTTCTTTGTTTTCCCATTTGTGCTGTTTCTTTGTGTTTATTTCTGTGTGTTGGATAAGGCTGCTATCCTCCCAGTCTTGGGGCAGTGGCCTTCTTGTGGGACCCAGTAGTGCAATCTCCTTTATCTTCTGTGCTGGGTGCTCTAGGAATGTCCCTTGTGTGGGTTATGTGGGCCCTACTGTTGTATTTGGGTCTTCATTGCTGTTGTCTCATTCATGGGAGGGTTCAGCACTCAGGCTTGCTGACTGGGAGGCTCAACCCCAACCATGTCATGCCACCCAGGAATGACACATCATGGGGGCAGATTCAACAGCATTGGAGCAAAATCCAACAAGCTCCACAAGTAACAGATCCAAAGTTTTTTTTCTTTTGTTCTTATCTTTTTTCTTTCATATCTTTTATTTATTTATTTATTTCCTTTCATTCTGTTTCTTTTTTTCTATTTCTCTTTCCTTTTTTTAGTTTTTATTTTTAATTTATTTTTTTCTTTTCTCTTCTTTTCTCCTGTTTTTCTTTTCCTATTCTAGATTTATTTTATTCATTATTATTACTGCTTAAAAATTAGTATTATTTCATTAATTTTTTCTTTTTTTATTCTTATTCTATTTCTTTTCCATCTTTCATATTCTCTTTTTTCAGTTCTTTGTTTGTTTGTTTGTTTCCTCTAATTCTTTTGCTCTTGTGTCTTTTAGTATGGTTTTTTTTAGTCTTTTGTTGTTGAGTTTCATGTTGTTTCAGGTTTGGTCTTGTTTTGCTCTGTCAAAACCATTGTGAGTCACTGTTCCTGCCTGGCCCTGGGCAACCTGACTGAACCATGCCAGGGCAGAGCCACAAGTAGTCCAGGGGGTAGGGCCTCCATAGGACAGAGGCTAGGTCTGCCTCAGGTCTTGTACCTTGAATATGTCTATTGTGAGCTGCTCTCACTTCCCCCACTGAACTGGGCTGTGTAGGGGTATCTAGGTTCTGGTTAGGATGGTTTAAACAGATTTGTGTTGGGGGTGGTATCTATACCTTGTAAGAGGCGGTGGCAGGCACTTCCTCTCCTTCAAATGCTTCAGCTCTGCCTGGTTCACTGGCATCCCCTTTCTGCCACCCCAAGCAAAAGGCATTTAAAAAAAAATAAAAATCATCCCCACTACACATGCCAATCTTTCAGCAGGGCCTCCGCCCAGGCTCAGACCTGGCCAAATATCCAAGTCCCTTATGCTGCCAGACCCAGTCACATGGACACAGATATCCAGCCCAGAGCCATTCCCTCTGGTCTCAGGCTATAGCAGGGTGGGGCAGAACCAGCCATTGCCCTGGTGGGAGAAGGGGCACCTGTCCTACACTCGAGGTAGACAGGACTGATCCTCTTCCATGGGATCAGAGAAAAGGAAAAAATAAAATAAATAAAAACTAAAAAAAAAAGGAAAGAAAAAAGTAGAATGAAAGGGAAGAAAGAAACAAACGTTATGAAAGAAAAAAGATAAGAAAGAAAAGAAAAGAAACTTTGGATCTGCTACTTGTGGAGCTCGTTGGATTTTGTTCCAATGCTGTCCAGCTCTCCACCTGAACTCCACAAAAAGTTCTTCCACAGAATACAGGGTCCCTCAGATTCACTTCTGGGTGTACTGGTCAGACCCTTCTGCCAGCCCCAAATTCCAATGCACGGCTCCTCCCATAGACTCAGATTGAGGTGAACTTCCCAGGCTGGTGTTGTGACAAAGCAATCACTCTTTGCATGTGGTGGTGTGGTCTGAGACTCTCAAGTGGACCGATACACCACTGCCCAATGATACCAGAGGACGGGGGCTAGACTGCCACACCTTCCCTCTGGCTTCCCAGCCACGCAGCTCACCCTCTCCTTATCTCTTCCTGTCCCCTCTCCACACTCCCCACTCATAATAATTCAGATCAGCTACATTTCAACTGGCTTTTCAAGTTGAATGCTCTGCAATTTAGCCACAAGCCCAATCTGGTGCTGGAAGCAAGTGGACAGAGCTTCCTGCTAGTCTGCAGCCATCTTGGAATCTTCCTCCAGCGAGCATTTTTCAGAATTGAACCCTAAAATCCACTGAATGAGATGATTCAAGGAATTATAACTTTGCTGAGTCAGAAACATGAGTAATTTTTGTCGAAGTCCTCAAAGAACATTAAATAATCTAAAGATTTAAATATGATCCCATATAGTCTGTGCTAAACATTATAGTATATCATTTCAGAAATACACTTTGACAGCCTCACCTTAGAAATTAATTGCATGACACTTCACAGGTAAAAGAAATTTATCTTTCATTCCATTCACTCAGTAGATGACTCACCTGGGGAGAAAAGGTCCATGTTCTGGGCTTTTTAGGCTGCCATGTGGCTCTGACTGTATGAATATTGCTCAGAACCTGAAATGAGATTTTCCCATTAGAAATCATGTAGAAAGCTCTCTGAAACACCACTACTTCCACACCCTAAACAGTTAACAGTGTCTAAATTGCGTGGAGCAGAGGAAGAAGGGATCTTTCACTTTTTACGTTGTGCAATTCTGTCATTTCTGATTTTTTAACATCAAGTACATATATAATTTTTTAAATGATTAACAAAAAACAAGTGTTAAAGCACTTTTTAAAACAGAGAAGGACTAATAAAATGAATTCAGACTCATATCTTTGCATTAGTGATAAATTATATTAAGTGAAATACTTAATATCTGAGATAGAAAAGTAAGTTTCAGGTACAAAATGACCTTTTAAGAAACGTGACCCATAAGAGCATTTCATGTGTAGTCCGTCACCCTGCCCCTGAGACAGACAAGGCTAACAGCTCAGATATATGGTTCCATCTTCTTCAAGATCTCAAGGCCCATAAATTATATTCTTTCTGCAATTTAATCTCATAAAATGCTACTGAAGAAGTCAGTCACACAATATACATAAAACAACGAAACATAAGAGGAGCCAAAACTATAAAGAAAAGTTCAAATTCTGTAAAGTTACAGTCAAAATTGACATCTTCCAAAGAACAGGTAACAATTTTTATCTTCAATAAAAAATATTTTAGTATAGCAGTTCTAAAACTAATCTTTAAAAGTAATTATAAATTATCCCAAACATGTCATCTGAGGTCAAATTCAATTCACTGCCCTCTAAGTCCCTACTGTAGGCAGTTAGCAGTATCTTACAGGCGTGCAGGAGGCAGCCAATCAATGATTCTCTCTCATCATTGATGTTTCTATCTCTCTCTCCCTTTTCCTCTCCCTCTCTAAAATCAATAAAAATATATTCTTTTAAATTCCTGGAAACAAATGAAAATAAACACATGACAACCCAAAATCTATGGGACACAGCAAAAACAATCTTGAGAGGAAAGTTCATAGCACTACAGGCCTATCTCAAAAAAAACAAGAAAAATTAATAATAAACTATTTAACCCTACAACTTAAAGAATTAGAAAGAGAACAACGAGAAAAGCCCAGAGTAAGCAGAAGGAAGGAAATAATAAAGATTAGAGCAGAAATAAATGGCATAGAGACTAAAAAAGAAAATATAAAATACCAATGAAACCAAGAGGTGGTTCTTTGAAAAGATAAACAAGATTGATGAACCTTTAGCCAGATACATCAAGAAATAAAGAGAGAGCCCTGACTGGTTTGGCTCAGTGGATAGAGCGTCGGCCTGCGGACTAAAGGGTCCCAGGTTCGATTCCGGTCAAGGGCATGTACCATGGTTGCAGGCACATCTCCAGTACAGGGTGTGCAGGAGGCAGCTGATTGATGTTTCTCTCTCATCGATGTTTCTAACTCTCTATCCCTCTCCCTTCCTCTCTGTAAAAAATCAATAAAATATATATTTTTTTAAAAAGAAATAAAGAGAGAGAAAAAAGAAAGAAAGAAAGAAAGAAAGAAAGAAAGAAAGAAAGAAAGAAAGAAAGAAAACCCAAAGAAATAAAATCAGAACCAAATGAGGTGAAGGAACAACTTACACCACAGAAAGACAAAGGATTGTAAAAAAAAAAAAAAAATACTACGAACAACTATATGCCAACAAGCTGGACCATGTGGATGAAATGGACACATTCCTAGAAATATACAATCTTCCAAAACTGAATCAGGAAGAATCAGAAAACCTAAATGGGCCAATAACAACTGATAAAACTGAAGTAGTAATCAAAACACTCCCAGCAAACAAAAGCCCTGGTCTGGATGGCTTCACAAGGGAGTTTAACCAAACATTCAAAGAATAAGTAATACCTAGCCTCCTCAAACTACTCCAAAAAATCCAAGAGGAAGGAACACTTCCAAAATCTTTTTAAGAGGCTAGCATTATCCTATTCCAAACCAGATAAAGACACTACAAAGAGAAATACAGGCCAATATCCCTGATGGACATGGATGCTAAAATCCTCAAAAAAGTATTAGCAAATCAGCCCTAGCTGGTTTGGCTCAGTCGGCCTGCGGACTGAAGGGTCCCAGGTTGATTCCGGTCAAGGGCAGATGCCTAGGTTGCAGGCTCAATCCCGAGTAGGCAGCAGTGCAGGAGGCAGCCAATCAATGATTCTCCCTCATTATTGATGTTTCTATCCCTCTCTCCCCCTCCATTCCTCTCTGAAAATCAATAAATATATATTATTTTAAAAATTATTAGCAAGTCAGATCCAGCAATACATTAAAAAGATCATACTCCATGACCAAGTGGGATTTATTCCAGGGATGCAAGACTGGTATAATATTTGCAAATCAATAAATGTGATATATCGCATAAACAAACTGAAAGACAAAAATCACATGATCATATCAATAGACAGAAAAGGCATTTGACAAAATCCAATGCCCATTTTTGATAAAAATTCTCAGCAAAGTGGGAATAGAGGGATCATACCTCAACATAATAAAGGCCAGATATGACAAACTTACAGCCAACATCATACTCAATAGGCAAAAAATAAAACCATTTCCCCTAAAACAGGAACAAGACATGGGTGTTCACTTTCACTACTCTTATTCAACATAGTACTGGAAGTCCTAACCACAGTGATCAGACAAGAAGAAAACATAAAAGGCACCCAAATTGGAAAGGAAGAAGTGAAACTGTCATTATTCAGAGATGACATGATATTCACAGATACATAAAAAACCCTAAAGACTCCACCAAAAAACTACTAGATTTAATTAATGAATTTGGCAATGTAGCAGGATACAAAATTAACACCCAGAAATAGATGGAAGTTTTATACACCAATAATGAACGCTCAGAAAGAGAAACTAAAAAAACAAGCCCACTTACCATTGCAACAAAAAAATTAAGATACTTAGGAATAAACTTAACCAAGAAGGTAAGAGACCTGTACTCTGAAAACTATAGGACATTGAAAAAAGAGATAGAGGAAGATATTCCGTGTTCATGGATTGGTAGAATCAACATCACTAACAAAGCAATCTATAGATTCAATGCAACCCCTATTAATATCAACAGCCTATTTCACAGATCTAGAGCAAACACTTCAAAAGTTTATATGGAACCAAAAAAAAAAAAAAAACAACCCCGAATAGCTGCAGCAATCTTGAGAAAGAAGTACAAAGTTGGAGGGATCACAACACCAGATTTCAAGTTATACTACAAAGCCACCGTAATCAAAACAATCTGGTACGGGCACAAGAACAGGCATATAGGTCAATGGAACAGATCAGAGAACCCAGAAATCGACCCAAGCCATTATGCTCAATTAATATTTGACAAAGGAGGCAAGAGCACACAATGGAGTCAAGACAGTCTCTTCAATAAATGGTGTTGGGAAAATTGGACAGGTACATGCAAAAAAATGAAACTAGACCACCAACTTAAACCATACACAAGAATAAACTCAAAATGTATAAAAGACATAAATGTAAGTTGTAAAACATAAAAATCCTAGAAGAAACCATAGGCAGCAAAGTCTCAGACATCTCTCGAAGCAACTATGTTTACGGACACATCTTCTAGGACAAAGAAAACTAAGGAGAAAATAAACAAATGGGACTACATCAAAATAAAAAGCTTCTGCACAGCAAAAGAAACCACTAACAAAATGAAAAGGGAGCCCACTGTACAGGAGAACATATTTGGCAATGATACATCTGATAAAGGTTAATATCCAAAATATATAAGGAACTCATACAACTTAACAGAAGGAAAACAAAAAATCCAATTAAAAAATGGACAAAGGACCTAAATAGACACTTCTCCAAAGTAGATATACAGATGGGCAAGAGACATATGAAAAAATGTTCAAAGTCACTGATCATCAGAGATGCAAATTAAAACGACAATGAGGTATCACCTCACACCCTGTCAAAATGCTATCATCAACAAATCAACAAATGACAATTGCTGGCGAGAATGTAGAGAAAAGGGAACCCTCATGCACTGCTGGTAGGAATGCAGACTAGTGCAGCCATTATGGAAAACAGTTTCCTCCAAAAATTAAGTATGGAACTGCCATTTGACCCAGTGATCCCACTTCTAGGGATATATGCTAAGAATCTCGAAACACCAATCAGAAAGAAAACATGCACTCCTATGTTCATAACAGTGTTATTTACAATAGCTATGATCTAGAAACAGCCCAAGTGGCCATCAGTAAATGAGTGGATAAAAAAGCTGTGGTACATGTATACCATGGAATACCATGCAGCAGTAAAAAAGAAGGATCTATTACCCTTTGAGACATCATGGAGGGACCTGGAGATGATTATGTTAAGCAAAATAAGCCAGTCAGAGAAAGACAAATATCACATGATCTCACTTAAGTGTGGAATCTAATGAACACAATAAACTCATTAATAAAATAGAACAGAGGCATGGAAATTGGTTCTCAGATGAATCTCAGAGGAAGGGGCCTGGGGAGGAAAAGCTTAACCAAAGAACATATATGTGTATATACATTGCCCATGAACACAGACAATCGGGTGGTGAAGGCCTGGGGCGGGGCGGGAACTGGGTGATGGTGGGCAAGGAGGTTAAAAAGGGGGAGGGACATTTGTAATACTCTCAAGAATAAAGTTTTTTTTAAGAAAAAAATAGATATCACAGAGGCCAGAAGAAAGTGACACAATATTTGTGAAGTGTCAAGGAAAAGAATCACCAACTCAGAATTCCATCTCCACTGAAAATATCCTTCAGGAATGAGGGGGAAATGGAGACATTCTCAGATAAAGAAAAACTAAGAGTCACCGTCCTATCTGAAAAGATGGTTTAAAGAAAGTTCTCTAAACAGGAAGGATTAAATAAAAGAAGGAAATTTCTGAACATCAGGAAGGAAGGAAGAACAATGGGAAGAGTAAAAAGGTGAGTACAACAGATATTCTCTTGAGGTTTCTAAATTATGCTTGATCTTTGAAGCAAAAATTATAATACTGTGCAATGTGGTT